AAAGCAGCAGGGAGAAACAGATCAAAAAGGCAGAAGGGGAAGGAAAAAAAAGCATACACAAGGTTAGGAAAGGGGTCAAGCCAAAAGAAGGTCATCCACAAGGAAGTCTTTAAAGAAAGTTAAGAGGAATGAATATTTAAAGCGGATGAGCAGCTACAGGAAAGTCATATCTAAGGGGGGAGGGGGGGAAACATGGGCACCAACCAAGTGAAAGATAAAGGTATAGAAGGAAAAATCAAGGGGAGACATAGAAAGATCTTCTGTTACATGAATCTCTTTTCATTCACCTGTCTGAACCTGGATTTACTGTGGTTGCTAGCAAATACCTTTCAGGGTACAGCCGAGAAGTAGCTACACTATCCTCCCAAAGAAACCGCCTTCTACCTGGCCTCCCTCTTTGCTCTCACAAGGGGAAAAAGGTGAGCTGATATGGGGCATACATATGTACTGCTATGAGGATGTCATAGCCATCACTGTAAAAAAACCCTCTGTCAATCAGTCCTGGAGTTTACCTACCCATTTCTGAGGACATCTGGTACAACACCTCCAGAAAACCTCCCTTCAGCCCACTGACAGAAAAGCCACTTCCAGCTAAATTAATTTGTGCTGCCATCTTTACTTTGCATTAATTAAATTAAGAGTTAGCAAAACAGGTATTTAATTATACGTATGACACATTTTTCCAAAGGTGTTTTAATGATGCAAATTTGTTGGGAGAGATTCACGTCAGCATAACTGGTTATAAATGGCCTCATTCATTGTTCATCCAAAACGCTAACTGCCACCTTTAATACCGGCACAGCATGTTTTAGCACAGGCAGAGCCTCTCGAGTTAAGTGAAGGGAACATCCTGAGGTCTCACTCCTGGATCAGCCTGAATAGTGACAGGGTAGAGAGCCACTGAATGCAGGGTATCGGTCTTATCTCAGAGCAATACCCAGCATTTAGCAAGCAAATTTTCATACCTGCAGAAAAAAGAAACTACATCCTAATATTTGCATGCAGAACTGGCAGTTTCCAGATGTGAAGAGGCTGTTCTCTCCCCGACCCAGAGGAGCACTGACACTGCAGCAGCAGTTGGGAGCTTCACTGTACGTGCCATTCGGTACCTTTCCTACGGGCAGAGGAACTTCACATGCTTTCGTTTCCTTTTAAAAAGGCCATCTGATAATGAATTTACTCTGAATTTCAGAATGCACTTCCAATACCATCAGCTTACATCCAACTTCACCTAAATATTCTGCTGGGTAGCAAGTTACTTATAATTGCGGTAGGGAACTTATAACACTGAACGTAGCAACTACTCTGACACAGCCTGGCTGAGCTCTGCTGCATCAAAATAATGAAATGCAGGATCAATGGCATTCAGCACGATGCAAGGTCATTAGCTGTAATGAAGTGAAGCATCCCATGCTTGCAAGAAGTAGCAAACCTTTAAGCCTGCTGCAACTCGCACTCACAGAAACCAAACAGAACAAAAAAGTTCACTTTTTAGGCTCTAAAACTTAAATATTTAAATACTGAAAATCTTTGCCATTTTAAATA